CTTGACTGTTTGGTCCCTGACATCACTGAACAAAGGTCATCAGGTCTGCAACAAATGGCTGTTTTTATTATCGATTTATCTGTTGACCATTTTCTGGATTAACTCATAAAATGTCATAAGAGCCCAATGTTTTGACTTCATTTTAATTTTCTTGTTCTTTTCTTTTTTTCCGTAATAGCAGTATAAAAAAAGGTGGGGGGACATAATAACTCTATTCAGAACAGACATGTCATCAAGGATTTGAAGGGAGATATAAAGGTCCAAATACCAAAAACCACAGCAGTGCCCAGACGTTTGCATTGTGATGCTGCTTTAATTACGCCTTACGTCTTTGTTGTGTTAATGCACTGAAAGACCGGATGAGCAAATAATAAAAGCCCCACTTTTGCTTTACATTCCCTTCATTCTTAGTCGTTTGAAGAATTGTAATCTACTGCAGTCTAGTATGAGTGAAGCAATAAATGACTTACACATTTACTTTTCAATTTATTACAACATATAAACTTATGTTATGACAGGAAACTTTTCAAGTTTCAACTTAAAATGTGATAAGTCATGTTCGAATGACAAAACTCATTTACGTGATTTAATTAAGTTCTACTTCATGCTTGGATTGGGACATGGCGAGATCTTATTGTTATTGAGCACAGTGGATGATATTGTGTGGAAGTATGAAAGTATGCATACTCTAATAAGGATTTTACATGGAGCTGTACAGAAGGAAGAATGAGTCCTATCCTTTTGAGGTAGCTCATTTCTCACTGACCAGTTAGAAGGCTCCATGCTATAATAATATACTGTTTATCTTGTGAAAAGTTTCCTGTTGTAACAATTAAGTTATCATGTGATAACATGAAATGTTTTATATTATAACAAGACAAAGAATATATTGTAATAACAAGAAACTTTTGCAGAAATATGCTGCTGTAGGCATGACTGTTTTTCATATTGGATAACAAAAAGAACACTAATATACTATATACAGTAATATACTGGTCTTAGTGCGCTGTGTTTTACAATACTGTGACAAGCAGCACAGAGTAAGAGAGGGTAGACAGGGTATTTGACAGATATATATGTCAAATCATTAACAACATGTTAAAAAATAATTAAATGAAATATTTGTTAATACAGTTATCTGTACATAGGTAATCTGTGAAGGAGAGGCGAAGGAAGCTGGGCAGTATATATATTATATACACGCACTTGTATTGGATCAGTACTCGGTATCAGCCGTTACAAAAGGTTCTATTATTGGGAAGGAAAAAAATCTTTACTTACCATGGTGCTGGTGTTTGTCACTGCCATTGCTCAGGAACTCCACATTGCATTTGGATCCGTCTACACCTAGCAAGTCCTGCTGCTGCTTTACTATCTCCTCCAGCATACGGGAGTTGTTCTTCCGGAAAATACCTGAGGGAAGAGACCAATGAGGATGATAAGCACATCACTCAGTCCAGAACAAAATATATTATAATAATTACACTAAGATGTTTGAATAGCAAAGGCTGCAGGTGAAAGATGAAACATTACTGCTCTGACAGTTTAATTATAATAAATTAGAAAATGCAATTACTCCAAGTAACAGTTCTCACAAAAGTGGTGAATCAAAGATTAGGTGTCCTGTGCATCCACAAGCCAGCACTGAGAGCTTGAGACTAACACAGGCTTATTGCTGTGCTTCTGTGGTTTCCATTTGAATCAGAATCTACTACAACTGAAGTTACTGGGCAGTACGAGTTGTAATCAGTGGTACATATTCAAAGATGGCTCCCTCTGAGGGAGATGCATGAGATGGAAAAGATTAGACAGGGCCAGGGTAATGTTACAAAGGAGAGTCATTTACTTAATTCAAGCACAAAAAGAATATACATACTAACAAAGTAAAACGCAGTGTGTGTTCTAAACTGGGATTATGTACATGTATGTGTGCATGGCCTTACATTCAAACTGTACAAGAGGCTGGAAGAAATCACACTGGATGTTTAAACTAGTAAAATAATTAAAACCCAAATTATAAATATCAAGTTTTTAACAGGCTAAGTTCGATAATATATTATCATTTAGGCATTTGTGTTTTCTCAGAGAGTGGAAAATGACCACAGTCCCTGCATAACTGTACAACTGAGGCACACAATGTGGAACAAACTAATATAACCTCTACAGTCACATGACATTACAGAAATAAACCACAGGGGGGTGGATCATTTTCCTAGTGGGAGGGAGGATTAGTTTTCAGCTTGTATAAATTATATTCAGATGAGGTACAAAAGTCAAATAAACTTATCAAATCAAACAAATCTAACACAAAAGGCTAAATGATGAGATAAGAAAACAATAGTATAGTTTAGACAGTTTTATAAACATTACTGTAGAGGTTGTTCAGTGAAAGGAAATCTGTATATGTTGTAACCAGGGGAGACTTTACTTACTAAAAATACACATGCAAATTAACAATAAAGTTAAATAGTGCCTGCTATAAAATTATATTTAAAAATATGAAATTCATAAACAGTTTTTCTCTTCTAACCTAATCTAATGTTGGAACTGGAATTAAAGCTGTTCAGCGTTACTTGGTGGGAACATGAGAGAGTAGTTTGCAGCAGAAACAAGATTATTATTATTGTTAAATGTTAAATTAATAGCAGTGTGCTTTTATTCAGCCAGTACAAGCAGCAGACACTCCGAAGATTGAGACTGTCCCTGCCAGCACCAAAGTTGGGTTAAGTGTAAAATGCTTACCGTGATTATCATAGACGCTGACATAAGATATACCAACAGCCATACACCAGACCACCAGGTTTGCTATGTCCGTATAACTAGGCTCTTCTTCCGCGACCAACAGGCCGATGTGGACCGGCAGCTTCTCCAAAGACCTGCCGTCAGACAGCCACCGTGACCGGCGACTGGCAGTACGGTTCACCGGGTTAGCGTTAGCATCAGGGTTATTATGATTTAACTTCTTCTGATGGTCTGGGAACCGTGCTAGGGCTGAGGGCAGAAGAAGAGCGGCTATCGTACGCTCCCACAGCCGGCCTTTCCAGCTCCGAAGGCGGACACGGAGCCAGGAGACAAGCGCTCTGTTGGCGTGCACCAGAACCAGCAAGAACCGCCATAACAAGCCGTAAAGCAGCGCCATTAGCGTCCTTATTTCGTCTAAGTACAGTCTTAAAGAATGTTCGCCAGACTCAGCTTTACTCGTCAGTAATATCTGCCAATCAAATCTGTTTCAGCGCTGCTTACAGCTCAGTCCGCCTGCCGCCATCTTCCTCTCTCCTTGGCAACCCCTGAACTGTGAACCCTCAGCGTGATACACGTAGCCCGCTGATTGGATAAAACAAGAGTAATGCACTAATAGACCAGAGACATTAAGACGTAAGAGTCGCGGCAACGGAAGTTCAAAATGCTTGATCGTCACGTGACTCACGTAGCCTACGGAGAATTCCCGGAAGTTCTTGGCGGCCAATTCAAATGCATAACAGAGAGACACACAACTGAAAGTTTTGACAATTAGTAGTCAATAAATGCATTGATTGACAATATTTAACACATATAGCACACCAATATGTGTATATAGTTACATTAATATGTTTTTTAAAGTGCAGATATTTGAGGATTAGTGTGTGTGAACAGGTGTTACCCTACCTTATTGACATATTTAGGCTAACTTATCTTTGTTAAAGAGCATTATGACCACCTGGACATAATGTTATGCAGCCCCATATGCAACAAACTGCAATGCCCTCAGCAATTTGAGCTACAGTAGCTTGTCTGTTGGATTGGGCCAGCCTTCGCTCCCCACAT